TTTTTTTTTTTTTTTTTTTTTTTTCAATTCTTCCAATCGTCAAGCTTCGACGTTACAAAGATATATATTACGTGATCGTCGCACGTTTCACGCGAATTTCTAAAACATCAATCAAGGATTTCACCACAGTGGCTCTGATTGCTACGAGTATCGGGCTGATGATCGGTTGGACGTCTCCTTACCTAGCACGATTGACCGCGGAAGACGCTGACCTACGTATAACCGACGACGAGGCATCATGGGTGGTTTCTTTGTTCCCATTTGGACGTTTATTCGGCGCCATCGCCGGTTCCATCATCATGGAGTATTACGGCAGCAAAAGATCTTTGTTAATATCTGGAATACCCATCATGATAAGCTGGATTTGCATAATATTTGCCGACTCGGCTGTCTGGCTTTACATGGCTAGGATTTCCGCAGGTAACTTATTTCCTATTCTTCGTGGCTTTCTTCTATCTTGTCAGTTCGCGATACAGTAAAGCCTCCCACATCCGAATTAATAGCGAGATGAAACTCTTCGTTCGTCCCTTGCGTCAATTTCATATATTTCTGTTGTGAAATGTTATTTCGTCAGATGCAAGTACCTATACAGAAGACATGCACTTTTCACGTTCTCGTACAGTACACTGCAAAAGTAGTTTTCCACGATTCTCTCTTACGAAGCTATAATAGTTCGAAATAATAAGTCGATAAATAATAATTTTCCATCGAGTGATACATTCATCACCAGTAAAATCTTGTATCCTGGTAAGTTCGTTTTGCAGTTGTGGAGAAGAAAGGAAAGTTCAGATTTAGGAGGCTCTGTCGTAACGATCGTTTCGAGCTTCTGACGTGATTTCTTTTTTTCTTCTTTCTTTCTTTTTTCAGGTATCACTTTCGGCATGTTCTTCAGCTGCTTCGCCCTTTACATCGGCGAAATAGCAACGAGCAACATCCGCGGCGCGTTGGTCAGCACAATAGTAAACGGAATGCCACTCGGATCGTTGATCGGCAACGTAATGGGCAGTTACGTGTCGATGATGTGTTTCGGACTCGTGAGTCTAATGCTGACCGTCTGCTTTATGATGATCTTACCGTTGCTACCGCAGTCGCCCTACTATTACGTGCGGGACAATAACGCCATCGAGGCGAAGAAAACTATCCAATGGTATCATCGAAAGTCGAACGTGAACGTCGAGTTGGAAGTGATCGAGAACTTTGTACGATCCTCCGGGCCGAGGAGCTTGCGCGACAAAATTGCTCAGATCAACGAGAGGAAGAATAGGCGCGCGTTCTCCATAATCATACTATTGTTCATTTTCATGCAACTCAGTGGGATGAACACCGTGATGTTCTACATGGAAATAATCATCAGAAGTGCGAACGTGACGTTGCTGAAGCCAGCGACCGTTGTAATCATCTCCAGTGGAATTGGTATGGAATCTTACACGAAGCAAATAATTCTTACGTGTGTCTCTCGGGACCGAGTAGACGTTTTCGTTTACTCTGCTGAACTTTCGATTCTAAGGTTATGGTTACACTAGACGCGTGTTCTAACAAACTAACGTCAGGCCGACGAAACATGAAGAGGAAGATTACGATAAGTTACATTTTCTACGCTTTACGAGGGACTTTGCAATTTAATCAATTTTATATTTGGAATATAATTGAATTTTATAATATTTCTATCGCGATGTTAGTGTTCATCATAGACGTATCTCTGGATTTCTAATGGATTTCGCCCGTGTTCAATTACATATTGTACGAAAATTGTTTCAGTTTATTTACTCTCCATTCTTCGTCACTTTTTTTTTTTAGAAAGAAAATGATATCTGTAATTTATTTGTTAGTTTCGTGCTTAATATTTTGTAACCAAAGCACGATCAATCATGTAATATAAATGCATATATTTAGTTGCATTCCCGCAATAACATTCTATACGTACGAAAAAGTAGAAAAAGTAGATGTGAAAATATTTGCAACGCTAAATGCTACCGATTGTTCGTCAGAACAGGCTGTAACTATAACCCACAGATAAGACATCTCGAGATATCAAAGAAGCATGGAATTCTTTTGCTGTCTCTCCTCTTTATATTACATCATCTTTTCTGCTCCGAGAATTCTCGAATCGTTTGCAAGACGCGATATATCATGCATTTCAGGTATAGTGGTCGGTTGGATCAGCGTGTATCTAATCGATCGGCACGGTAGAAGGATTCTCATGGCGGTGTCATGCGGCTGCGTGATCCTGTCGCTGATGCTTCTGGGATTACACTTTATGCTGCTCGAGCAGAACTTCGATCCAAAAAGTCTGGAATGGTTGCCGATCGTGGCCATGATACTGTTCATGTTGATGTCCATCGGTATTGTACCGGTTCCGACCACCATGCTCAGCGAGCTCTTCCCGGACGATTTAAAGAGCCTCGCCGGTTTCACCGCCAGCATCACGTCCGCGTTATTTGCGTTCATCAGCAGCAGAACCTACCAGCCGCTCGTCGATCTCATGTCCGAAAAATACGTATTCTGGGTGTACGCGTTCGTCATGATACTCTGCCTCGTGTATTCGATCGTCGAGATGCCTGAGACCAAGGGGAAGACGTTGCAGGTAAATTTCCTCACATTCTTCGATTATTGAAAATATTCCAGCAACACTTTTTTGTTCGACAAATTTCTACATCCTCGTAAGATATTCCGTTGTACTCTTCATTTCATTTCTATTTTCATAAACACTTCCACTACGTTGTACATGTCCAAAAAGTAGAACCTTGTGTCCCTTTGAAACAAATTTCAATTTCCGTGACGTTAACTTGAGTGAAAGTTCTTTCCTTATTAATTTACTATCCATCGAGGGATGAAAGCGAGTTAATATGTACTTAAAGCACAAGTGCGTGATGAATCAATCGATATTAGTCTCGAGTCGAAAGTTTGCCAATTCGAATTTAATAGGAAAGGTGCTGGAGCTGGCTTCTCTGGCGGCGAGAATGTGAATAACGACAGAATGATGTAGTAGTCAGTTCTTGTTGCACAAGCAATGAACGAATCAGTCATTGTTCAGTTTCTCCTTGACGTGGTATTAAATAATCGATACAATGTCGGCAGGAAATACAAGACATGTTGGCCAGCGAGAGCAAAAAGGAAGGGAGCAGCTCGGAGATAATAAAGACGGTGCCAAAGCAAACTATACCCGAATAAAATGTAATGTAAAATTAATTCCGATAAAAATAAATAATACTTTTGTAAAAAGAAAAAAAAAAAAAGGATATTTTGGCTACTTCTGTCACACATATTTATCCTATGAAAAAAAAAAAAATGAAAGTGACAGAAATTTTGCTACAACTTTAAAACGAACTGTAGATAATTACACGTGCCTTATCTTATCGCGGAAAGCCA